ATCTAGAAAATGCATAGATCTTCTTCCCACACAGGCCAAATGCCATTTTTCCTCCACTCACAGCTGGTTCTCAGGAGGAAACCATTCTTCCTTGTGTGTCAGCTTGCATGAGGTTTGGTCATGAGAGAAGCGCTCCCAGAACAGTTCTTGGTGGAAGTTGCGCTCTCAGGGATCATGCACATTTTGATGTGATCTTTTTAATCAGCAGGAGATTTTGAGTCAGGAGAATTGTGCACAGGGGTGAAATGTTTCTAGCTAGTCTTTAACACTGGCTGGGGCTTCACTTTTTCCTCCCCTCCCCTCCTCTTCACTCCCCTCTCTTTCTCTCTCTTTTCTTCTCTATAGTCTGTGGACTGCAACCTACAGTTTATGACATGGGATATGATATTTTAAAAACAGGAGTAACTGCCTGGGCTGCTTTCTAAAACTCTTTGAGTCAAGATGAGAGTGTCTTATGGAGCCGTCCTGTGGAAGGGAACTCCAGGGGAAATTTGAACACAGATTCTGAGTGGGAGTTCTGTTTTCTATATAAGCAGTTGTCCTTTCCTTCACCTCCCACTGGGAGGCACAAGTGGAGGAAGGAGGGAGCTCTCTATTTTATCATTTTCCTCGTGAATCCACCATTTCTTTATTAATTTCAGGACATTTTGGAGGAAGAAGAGAATAGTAAATGTCCACGTTTTGATTGCTTATGTGGTGCTGTAAATGGGTCACATGGATTCATTGTCACTGTGAAGAATAGGGTTCACCCATGTAGACACTCCACAGTTGGAAGGCTCCCTGTGAAGCCATGCATTGATGCAGGCATTGGGGAAATGGGCACAGGGATCAATGTTTTTATGGGCATTTGAACTTGGAGTTTTTCTAAAAAGATCTTTCGACAAACTAGTTAGCAGATCCTTAATCATAGTATGTGAACATATTTCCCAGAATATGAAGGCTGGGATGTGTTTGCATATTTAAATAAAACAAGAGCATATTGTCTAAGGAAAGTCCATGTGACTGCTCAGCCCAGGCTGTCAGTTGGAATCTAAGTCACAGCTGGATCATTGTCTCCATGTAGGTAAAGCACAAGCTCTAACTGACAGCTGCTGCCACCCCCACCCCTGGACTTCCCCAAGGAGGACTGAACTACCTATTAGCAATTTCCATCCTTGATGGTGATATCTGATGAGTGACCACACTTAAGAGATTCAGGGAGTCAGTGCAGTAGGTAGGTCTGACTTGGAATCTCTGCACCTGTAATTATGCTCCAGAAGCTTCCTTTTGCTTTTTTCCCCAAAGTGCCCTTCACATTCCAAGAAAAAAATTTAAAAATTTCTGGCCCACTGCACTACAGGTAGGACATATACTTTGAGTCAGTCTTTTTTTAAAAAATTGATTTTATTTTTTTTAAATACACGACAGCAGAGAGTGATAATGTTTGTTTTCATCCATTTATGTCTTCCCTCCTCCTCATTAAGTCCAGAAAACCTCATGAGATGTCCCTACCTGTGACTGGGGTGCAAACCAAGCCTATTTTGTAGGCCAACATGGGAAACAAACCCATCTTCATGTAATCCTTTAGTGCCTGACCTGATCGATAACCATATTAATTCCTTGATTTGAAGATTTGTACCCTTCTTCATTGAAGGCTTGGGCCTTTTCTGTAGAAACCATTATTTTATATTATCTTTGGTGACAGTGCATTAATCCTCTAGTTCTTGTGCAATATTCCCAGTTTCAATTATAAATATCCACAGTGTCATATAATAGTGAGACAACTGTCATGTGTAAGTTATTCTTACCTGAGAACATGATCAACCTTAAACACTTGGTGTAAATTATGGGCATGCACAATGGAGGCACGGCACATAGTCTTCCACTTCTAGGAGAATAAAGAAAACAAGAGCATATATTTACTTAAATGTCTAATAGTGTCTTTGCCATATGTCTCTTCTCCAAGAGTGTGCTTTCAGGAATTGTCTCATGTAGTGGACATGGGTTGTTTGTCCTTATTTGATAAGCTCTGTCAACACTCTGTTGCTAAAGGAATGTGCTAAATCTCAAGTAATGCCATGAGTGCTAAGAGGATCACCATAGTCTGTTAAGAAATGATCACCCTGGCTAACAGGAACTAAGCTCCTGATGCTGTTCTAACCCAGTCAGGCTCTTCTTGTCTTGGTAGCATGCTTGATGTTTGCTGGAGTGAGTTGGATCTGTCCAGTGCGTCATCCTGGTGTGTACAGGAAGGCTCTCTGGGCACAGGAAGCCATGCATTGGGGAAATGGGCACAGGAATAGTGTTTTTATGGGCATTTGAACTTGGAGGGTTTTTTAAAAAGACCTTTCGACAAACTGGTTAACAGATCCTTATTCATAGTATGTGAACATATTTCCCAGAATATGAAGGCTGGGATGTGTTTGCATATTTAAAGAAAACAAGATCATATTCTCTAATAAAAGTCCATTGACTGCCCAGCCCAGAGTGTCAGGTGAGGAGAGAGCCAGGTTTGGTGGCGTCTGAAGCTTGTGGAGTTGTGGGAGACTCTTTGAGGAAAAGCAAACACAATGACATAAGGACACATTCTCAGTGCCTCTACAGGCCTAGAGGGTGTTGGGAGGAGAACTCAAGCTTCATGGGCCTCAAGGAAAGTCTGTTTCTCTGGGTTGTTTGGAAAGAGGGAGATCAAATCACTCCAAAGTACCTGATAAAGGACAGAAAACTCTTCTTAAATGAGTAAATGTAATGGTGAGTTTTCCCCTTTAAATCAAAAACAGAGTTTGAATATAAAAGTGAAAAATAGCTTAAACAATTGGGAAGTAATTGGATCAGGGTTTAGACATAGCCTCAGGTTTCTAAATAATGAATATGAACTGAACTTTAGGATAGTACCCTCACATTTTTTTTTTTTTGAAATTTTGAAGGATTATTTCAACACACAAAGTTCTTTAGTGTGTCTTCTAAATTTTACCCATTTCTACCTGCCTCTGGGACCCACTGATAAGCCCAGTTGTTTTAGGCCTCTGTTGTTGGTATTGAATAACTTCTTCACCATGTTGGCCTAGGACCTGACTTCCTTAACAAGACTCCTAAAGCACAAGAAGTAAAATCAAGAATCAATAAAAGTCATGGACTAAAATTAAAAAGCTTCTTCTCGGGGCTGGGGATGTGGCTCAAGCGGTAGCGCGCTCGCCTGGCATGCATGCGATCCGGGTTCGATCCTCAGCACCACATACAAAAAAGCTTCTTCTCAGCAAAGGAAACAATAATATGAGGAGAGAGCTTACAGATTGGGAGAAAATCTTTACCACATGCATCTCTGATAAAGCATTAATCTCTAGGATATATAAAGAACTCAAAAAACTTAATACCAAAAAAATAAATAACCCAATCAATAAATGGGCATACAAGAAGGAATACAGTCGATCAGCAAATATATGAAAAAGTGTTCAACATCTCTAGCAATTAGAGAAATGCCAATCAAAACTACACTAAGATTTTATCTCACTCCTGTCAGAATGGCAATCATCAAGAATACAGATAACAATAAGTGCTGGTGAGGACGTAGGGGAAAAGGCACACTCCTACATGGCTGGTGGACTGCATATTGGTGTAACCACTATGGAAAGCAGTGTGGAGATTCCTCAGAAAACTGGGACTGGAACCCCCATCTGACCCAGCTATCCCACTCCTCGGTTTATACCCAGAGGACTTAAAATCAGCATACTACAGAAATGCAGCCACATCAATGTTTATAGCAGCTCAATTCACAATAGCTAAACTGTGGAGCCAACCTAGGTGTCCTTCAATAGATGAATGGATAAGGAAAATGTGATATATATATATATATTTTTTTTTTTTCAATGAAATACTCAGTTTTAAAGAAGAATGAAATTACGGCATTTGCCAGTAAATAAATGGTGTTGGAGAATATCATGCTAAGCAAAAACAAGCCAATCCCAAAAAACCAAAGGCAGAATGTTTTCTCTAATATGCAGATGCTAATTCACAATAAGGTGGTGGGGAGGACTAGAAAAGATTAGCATTACTTTAGATTAGGTAGAGGGAAGTGAAGGGAGGGGAAAGGAGGGGATGTGGGGATAGGAAAGACAGTAGAACTAAACAGACATTATTACTTTATGTATATATGTGACCACATGACCAATGTGATTCTATAACATGTACACTCAGAAAAATGAGAAATTATATCCCATCTATGTATATCAAAAGTCCATAAATGCATTCTACTGGCATTATAACTAATGAAAACAAATTTTTAAAAAATTTAAAAAGCTGCATTATACATTTCTGCATATTTCTGAAAGGCATACAATCAAATATAATATGTTTCTCTGAAGTATAGATATACATTTTTTCATTTGAATGCTATAGCATAAAATTATATTCTTTTTTTAAAAAAAAACATTTATTTTTTAGTTGAAGTTGTTTATCTTGTTTATTTATTTTTATGTGGTGCTGAGGATCGAACCCAGGGCCTCACACATGTTAGGCAAGTGCTCTACCACTGAGCCACAACGCAGCCCAAAGTTATATTCTTTAAATGTTATTTTTTGTCACACTTTAAGAAAAATTCTGTACTGCTTGTAAATATTGCCAAAGAATGTGTGATAGTGTGACCTCTCAGTCTTCTACAAGGGCATTGTTTAATAGGTGTCTATGACTGCTTAATTATCTAGGAGAATGATCCCATGGCTGCCTTACTCATTTACTATTTGATTATAATTGAGATGTTATCTACTAAATTGGCGAGTGCCTTTTTGCAGGTATGAAAGGTTACTGTAAAGATATTAGTGCCCTGGAGGACATGAATTCGTTTTAATGTAATCTACCAATCTCTTTCTTACATCCTCTCAAAAATGCCTGTAAATTTCTACCTTCTCAAAAATACTCTTCCCTGGACCATTTGTTAATGAGCTTACAAACCTTTCTGTGTTTGCTTAAGAGTCAAACACTTTGCTTAAGTGTTTTTAACTGTTTGAAAGAGGTGCTCTGATGTAGGCATTGCACGTATCATTTTGTGATCGATGGTAAGGGTCTTATTTCAGTTGTCCCTTTATACTGTGCATCTTTCTTGTCCATTAGAACCTTTAATCTTCAATAATGAAGAGCTGATTTGGAAAAGAGGTAAAAATATCATTAGTTTCCAAGTAACAGGTATTTTCAATGTATTAGAATGAAAACTAATAGAAGCATAAAACTCTTGACTTTTAAAAGTTGTTATTATTTGTATTGGTGTATTATAATTATAATAGTGGAATCCATTATGCCATATTCATGTGTGCACCTATCATAATTTAATCAGTATTATTCCCAATACTTTCTCCTCCCTTTCTCCCTCCCCCACCCACTTACTCTATTCTACCGGTCCCCTCTTTCTTTATTAGTATTTTTAAATAGTCATTGTAGCTGCACATATAAATGAGATTTCATGATTTATTCTCAGAGGGACATAACTAATTTGGTAGATTCCCAGGGACTTCCCCACGCCCTCTTCTCCTCTCTCCCTCTCCATCCCTTTACTCTTCAATTTTCATGAGATCCCTTTTTTATTCCTCCCCCCCCCCTAGCTTCCACATATGAGATGGAACATTTTTACCCTTGACTTTCTGAGTCTGGCTTAGTTGATTTAGCAGTGTTCTCTAGTTCATCCATTAACTGACAAATGACATAATTTCATTCTTCTTTATGGCCAAGTTAAACTCTATTTTATTCATTCATTCATCTGTTGATGAGCCCTTGGGCTGATTCCACAACTTGAACTAAATCAGTGTACTATAGTGATATGTGAGTACCAATGATTATAGCAGTGCGATTCACAAAAACATTTAGCATTTTAATTAGCTTAAAATTAGAAACCACAGGGGCTGGAGCTATAGCTCAGCATTAGAGCGCTTGCCTCATACATGTGAGGCACTGAGTTTGATCCTCAGCACCACATAAAAATAAAATAAAAGATTTTAAAAAGGAAAAAATAAAAAAATAGAAACTACATACTTATTATATGCTCCTTAATAGCACAGCAATAAAAATATTTCCTCCAAGATTGTGAATCACAAAGTGGGGAAAAATGTATATTATCTCTTACCTGTGTGGTAGGTCTCATTACATTTTTCCTGTTTACACTTTAGGATAAGATATACTTGTGCATTTAAGATGTGCATGGGGGCAGTGTCAGTTGCATCTAATTCATGAAGAGAAACTTAAAATAAAGTTTGATTTTTGACTAATATAAAATTTTTGTATTTCTTTTGGGAAGATGTTATGCATGTGTCTGATATTTGTTTATTTTTTATTTATATATGACAGCATAATGCATTACAATTCTTTTTTAAATTTTTTTAATAGAGAGAGAGAATTTTAATATTTATTTTTCAGTTTTTCGGCGGACATAACATCTTTGTTTGTATGTGGTGCTGAGGTTCGAACCCGGTCCGCATGCATGCCAGGCGAGCGCACCACCGCTTGAGCCACATCCCCAGCCCCTACAATTCTTATTACTCATATAGAGCACAATTTTTCATGTCTCCGGTTGATTACAAAATATATTTACACCAATTCGTGTCTTTATACATGTACTTTGGATAATAATGACCATCACATTCCACCATCATTTCTAACCCCATGCCCCCTCCCTTCCCCTGATATTTAAATTTATGAAATTTTCTAAATGTTTTCAGGATGTGGCTTTCAGAGAGAAAGCCTGTGGTTCCCTCACCTGACTTAATGGTCATCTTCTCTGGAGAAGGAATTTATTTTGCCATGTGATCTGGGAGCTGGTAGTCACTGGACTCGTATCTCAGTGGAAACAGCCCTGTGAGGCCCTGGAACTCTGGCTGAGGCTTGAGTCTTCTTTGTAATGTTCCATTCCTTGGTGTGTTCAAGACACACGTGATCAGGCAGTGGAACCACTGCTCGGAGTCCTGCAGGGCAACTTGGTGCCTGAAGACAGAGCAGGTCTGCCTGCAGGACTCAGACTTGTAAGTCATGTTAGGTTAACATCCAAATCCTGGGGCAGGCCTGAGAGCCTGGTAAAGTCAGATTGAATTCAGTGTCCAGGAGTGGTGAGCTGACTAGCAAAGTGGTGAAACTATCACTGTGGTAGCAGAAGTTCAGGAGGGGAGAATTCAAGATAAAAGGGGAGGGCTTCTAGCTCATTGTTTGTCCAAGCAGCAAAAAGAAAACAATAAAAACCTGAGAACTTCTGGGACCATTCATTTTGGCATCTGGGGCAGTGACACAGTATCCAGGTGAAGCCCACTATGTGTCCTTTCAGGAATGGAGAGGCCCCAGGTGCGGCCCTTCAGTCAGCAAATGGCTCTCAGGCTGGGTTTTGAGTTCAGGTCCAGTTAGCCAGTGGGATCCTTCTTGTGATTCTGCTGTGCCCGCGCACCTGTGCATCTGTCTGTGTGTCCTGATGAGGTGATGGATCACTGCAGTCCACAGGGAGATCAGGTGGAATCTGATTGGGTTCTGGAAGATAGTAGGTTCTCAGTATGTATTTGGTGAGGAAGTAAAAATCGGAATGATTCTCTTTCCTATAATAATACCTAGCAGAATCCCAAGATCTAGCTTTCCTTCTCTGAGCTATGGTCTGTCTTCTTACCCAATGATTGTGACTAGAGGGTTTGGGCTTTCAACTTACCAGGGGTAGAGCCAGAAACCAATTTGTAACTTGAACTTTGACCAGGTGCTCACCTGCATCACCTCGACAATAAATCAAAATGCACCAACTCTTTAGCTAATTAGTTTAACACCTATCATTAAAAGTATTTGGTTTTAGGTTCATATAACAGATGGTTGGTTGTCTGTCTGCCTCTCATATTAGATGCTAAACTTTCTGAAAACAGAACTGCATTTCTCTTTGTGGTCATTAAGTGATGCATGACTTAAATATGCTTAAAATGATAGCACTTAATAAGAGTTTACCAAGTACCTGAAGAAATTAGTATAGTCATGTGCTCATGATGATGTTTTGGTTTATCATGAGCATATGTGCTGGTCCCAAAGATTTTATTGGAACTAAAATAATGCTATTGGGCACTCTCTTACTGGACTTTTTCTGTGTGTAGATACACAATTATTGTGTTAAAATTACCTCCATATTCAGTATAGTCTCATGCTGTATAGGTGTGCATCCTGGGAGCAATGGGCTGTATCATATGCTTATGTGTGCAGCAGTCTAGGCAATGTAGGTTTGTGTAAATGCACTCTATGATGTTCACAGCATGTTGAAATCACCTAGCATCTCTCAGAACATGTCCCTGTCATTAAGTGATGCATGACTTAAATATGCTTGTTTGAAATTATATGGAAGATGGAGACTCTCCATGTGTGTTTCATAGACATTTGTGTGTTGCCTACTGAGAATGAAACTTCATGAGTACCCTCAGCTCTCCAGCTGCTGACCCATTTCCCATGGAAATTTCAATGGACTGATTTCAAGAGTTGTATTTACTTCTGGTAGTGAAATGCATGACATGATTTCTAGCCTAAGAGACCTCTTGCAGTAGAGCTGAAAAAGGACAGTGTCTGTGAAACCACCTCAGACCAAAAGGCAGGAAAGAGGAAGCTTTGGGGCAGGGGTTATTAGCTGTATCCAGGGGGACTGAGAGTATGATCTGAGCCAGGTCAAATGCTCTGCATACTCTGACCAGGTCTCCTGGGAGCACTGTGTCACCAGAGTTCTCCAGAAGCCTGCTTTGCAGTGTCTAGTTGGCACTGGACAAAGCAGCATCTGATCCAAGAAGGGAAAAGCCTGAGAAGAACCGGGCTGGGGCTGGGGACTGGAAAGGAAAATGCACCTCAGGGCAGGGGATGTGCAGTTGGACAGAGGGCCGGTATGGTTCAATGTGGTGATGGTGTCCAGTACTGTCCTTGATACCCAGGAGGCGAAGTTCACTTGAGTCATGACCACCTCTGGGCATGGGAGCTGTGGCTTGGTTTCTTGGAGCCTGTCACAGCATGAAGAAGCTCCCATGGTGCTGCAGACGAGACCCTGCTGGTCTGAGATGGGGGATTCTGACTTTCTTCTTGGATGGTCATTTTTGTCCATACAAACATCGCTGGCATGATAACACACCCATGCTATTGCTTTGAGAATATCTCTGTTTTCCAATGTCTCTAATTTTATTTTTCAGAATTGCATAGAAGAGACACAGTGGAGTTTGTAGAAATGATGATTCCATTAGTCTTCTTTGGAAATGTGCTAACATAAGCAAACTTATTAAGAGGTAGTAGAGTGATGTCGTTACAAGAAGAATTCCTGGGTTGGAATTATGGTTCCATAGTTCATGCCAACTGTGTTATCTCAGGTAACATGCTTCCCTTCTCTGTGTCTGTTTCCTCATCTCTAAAAATAAAGAAGTGCCAAGAAGTTTAAATTAATATATGTAATCCCTCAGATTTTAACTGTTTGGATCAACTTGCTATTAACAGCATAAATCTTCTTCCAACTTCACATACTTTATGTGAGCTGAAAAGGATTCTCCAGCCATTGTCCAGGTGTCTGTGTGATGATAATAGACCCTGGACACGTGGGCTGCTTGTTATCTGACTGGTATTTCTAAAGTCTTGGAAAAAATATATGGTGTCTGGCCACCACAGCTCACAATAGAAACAAAAATTTTAAATGCGTAAGGAAACAAACTACTTCACAGGAGGAAATAACAGAATACAGGATGGGATCAAAATGGATGGAGATATTGAAAATGGGTTTAGAATGCCAAAATGTGTTATACGTCTAAAGAAACAGAAGATAGGAATAATGAAATAAAGAATTTCTTTTACATAAAGTTTCCTTCATATAAAGAAACATTCTTTATATGAAAATGATCAAGCAGAATTGAAAAGAATGTTATCTAGACATGAAAAGTGAATTATTGAAATCAAGAATTCAGTGAATTCTCAAACAGAAGAGTAGACACAGGTGGAGAAAGACTCAGCCGCTTCAAGACAAATCTGAAATAAATAGCCAGCATACACCCCAGAGAGAGAAAGAGAAGGAAAATATAAGACACGGGTTAAAGGGGCAGGGTGGAGAACAACGAGATCCACACATCTGATCTGGGTTCTGGAGGAGGAAAGACATAATGGACGATTTATAAGGATTCTCATCATTCAAGCAGGTCACCAATCTTGAGAGTCCAGAAGAGTTTGAAATGCCTAGGAATAAAAAGAAACCAGTTCAGACCACCAACACCACCATAGGGGAAAGGTCCAACACCAGAAGTACAGAGAAGCTGTAGAAAGCAGCCCAAGGTAGAGTTAGCAAACAGTGAAACACTCAGCCCCATGAGCTCTCAGAGTTCTGAGAGGGAATAAACACCAAGGGTGATAGATTTAGCTTCCAAGAGTAGTGGGAAGGTAGTCATTCACAGAAAAGTAAAATCTTTAAGACTTAAGAGGATGCCAGACCACCAACCCTTCTAATGGATGGAGGGGGAGGGGCAGAAAGGAAGCCATTATAGGGGCAGGTGTGAGTAGTTAGAATCCCGCAGTTGTTACACAAATGATGCTCCTGAAACTAATTGCAGAGTTGAAATAATAGCAAAGGTGTATAAACAACATGTCTGTGTAGTTGGTGGTATTAAAGCAAAGAAGGCAAGACTAAGTGAATAACTGGGAATAAAGGTGGAAAGGAAGTCAGAATTAAAGCATTCCTGGTTTCTACATTATTTGGTGAAGAGAGTTGAAATTTGTTTAATTTTATGCTTTGGTTAGTTGTTAGGCAGAATCAGCATAATATATCAAGGAGGATGGCCAAAGGAGTGGTAAAAGATGGAGAGATTCCAACTAATAAAAGAAAAAATAGAGTGGGAGATTAAAGTCAACTCAAAGAAGAAGGAAAATAATTGGTTAAAATGGATACATAGGAAACAATTAAAATGAAAGGATAAATATAGAGGAGATTTTAATAAACTATTTCCCAGTTTGATTTTTGTGGCTAATATATAACAATTGAAAAATATTATGCAGCCTCAATTATTTATGGAATATTTACATCCTTCTTTGTCCATAAAGTCAGTTCCATAAATTTGCAAAGAACAGAAAAACTTTCTAATACTAGTAAAAGATAATGTGTTCTAATTATAGAAGCTTTTGTTATACTGAGATAGATAAATGAAAAGGAAAAAAAAAAAAAAACCACCCAACAAACAAAAAACACACCTAGAAACGTCAAGGTCACATTTTAAACCACCAAAGATAGTGATATGAACCTATTTGCTGTGGAAGGAATAAAAGCTACTTTGACATCAGCAGGGCAGTGATACCAGAAGCAAAAAGAAATGCAGAAACAGTAAGTAATAAGGGGAGATAACTTTGTAATTTATAGTCAAACTATTTATAATCAGCCAGACTATTTATAGTCAGTCAAATTATTGTTAAGACCCCATGGGGGCTGGGGCTGGGGCTCAGTGGTAGAGAGCTTGCCTAGCCCTAGCAAGCATGAGGCACTGGGTTTGATCCAGCCTCAGCAAAAGAGAGGACTAAGCAACTCAGTGAGATCCTGTCTCTAAATAAAATACAAAATAGGGCTGGGAATGTGCTCAGTGGTTGAGTGCCCCTGAGTTCAATCCCCAGTAACTACCCTCCCCAAAAAATACACAGGTGATCAATTATCAAAACTCACCTCTTACTAACTCACCTCTTTTGTGCTATCTTGCAGTTACTCCTGCTCTTCAGGCTGTTGACATGTCTTCTGTGTACGTGGTGGAAGTGCTCTGTGGTGGGTGACTGCATGCCTTCCCAGCCCCCGTTCAGGACATCACAGGGAGGACTTTGACTTGGCCATGTTTGGAACAGTTACACTAGGGCAATAGCAAAGGCTGGGAACCAGGGCCTTTATTTTCTTTATCAGCCTGTTGTTAGACAAGGGCTAATGTGCTTATGACCAAGATGGTGCAAGTTCTAGCCTGGCAACCAAAAAAGAAAGGAGAGATGTCAGGAAGAAGAGAGAGGAGAGCTTCTCCCAGAGTGCTCAGCTGCACGAGTGGCTTTTCTCTGTAGACAATGTGATGCTTTGCTGGCCTCTGCCTTGCCTGGGGTCCTTCGGTGGCTCCTCGGAGCTCCCAGCAGCCATGGCCTTGGGTTTGCAAGTCTAGATCAGAGAGATGGTGAGTCAGCTGCTGTCTCTACTCCTTCCTCAGGGAGAACTTTCGTCTTTGTCTTTAGTTATTTTCCATTCCTTTAGCTCAAAAAATAATTATTTGCATTTTAATGAATTTGAAGAAATTGGATTTTGCATGTTATCTTCTGTTTGTTTTATTATAAATTTATTTTTATTTTTTTCTGGATAGATTTCTCCCTTATTGGGTGCCATTAAATGCTCATAAAGGAAATTAAGTCAGAAGGGAATTGTTAGGGGCTATACATTTTTTTCCATTTATTTCATCTCTTTTTAGTTCTAGAATAGGCTATGGAAAGGTTACTGGTCAAGTAAGCTGATCATGAAAATTTCAAATATATAAACAAGTAAATGAGCCAACGTCTGAGTCACTGGGGGAAGTCAGCAGGCCACCACACAATGCCTCTGTGATGGGAAGAGTCCTGCTGATGGGCAATGCCCACCGACCCAGGACATCATGTGGGAGAAGACCACGGGTAGGCTGTGCAGATAGTAGAGATTTCCTTCCTATGCAGTGTGAAGGAAGCTGTATCCCATCACAACACTTCAGCGTCATTGAGTAAATTACCTTTTCTGTTGCAGGAATAATAGTTCAAATGATTAAATCAGTGAATACAATTAAAAATAAAGTGCTCTACAACCTTCTAAAGAGTCAGACTGATTTTTCTGTGAAAGATGAGTTAATTCATTTAGGAAGTACAGCTGAACATGAACTCTGCCCCCTCTAAGTGTATCCTTGTAAATGTTGGTGATGTAGTCATGGAGTTGAAGATTTGCTCCCTTCATGTAATATTCCAAAGATCTGGGTTTAAGTACAGCTTGAGTTTCTTTATCCCTTAAAAATCAAGCATGGTACTTAGTTATCAGATACAGATAGGAAAGAGTTGACACAAGAGGAAAACCCAGAGGGTGAGGGTTGGGGGGCATACTCATAATTGTCCACTCTCATTTTTTTTTTTTAATGTGAAGAAACATTTTGTGGCCTGAGAGTTAGGCTTAAAATATCACTCAAATATTTATACCATGACAGTAAAAATATTCTCATTGAAACCAGATTTCACATTTACATTATCAAATGACCATTTTTGGTCTGGTGATGACTCTAATATCAGATTAACATCTAAACATTTCAGTGGTTGCAAAGATTATAATAACCAAGTAAACACTCAATTTAATTATTTTAAAGAAGCCCAGTGGACTTGCGTGTTGTGTTTCAGATCTGCAGAGATAGAAATGTGTTATTGTTATGATTCAGTCTTCCCTGCAGTGGGAAGATTATAAACATACAGAGGAAAATACTCCTAGTTTAGGATCCACTTATTTCCATTATATTTAATTAACAGCTTAGAATAAGATAAGCAGTCATTATGAAATGGTTGTACAAAATTTATCTTGTATATTCAGACCATTCTTATTGCATATTTAAATTAACTTTTTGTAAGAGAGTAACAATTGGCTGATGAGGTTTAGTGTTTATGATTGCCACTCTGATTGCATGTAATATGTGTTTCAATAAACATTCCTTGGTTTTGCTACCAGACTTCATGTTCATTCCTGAAGTGTGATTTACAAAGTTCAATGTATCAACATTTCTTCTGAAGGATTATCTATGCATTTTTGTTTTATGTGTATAATTTTATGTTTTTCACTCATGCATTCTATTTGATGTATTTATGTTGTTTATTTATTTATTTATGTATTTATGTTGTTTTCTATTGATTTATGAAAAGTAATAAAATATTTCCTAGAAATGCTTTTGTGAAAAATAAAGGAAAGGGGGTATTATGAAAGATACTATGAGGGCTGAGTAGAGAATTTGGGCAGGTTCAGGTGTTTCCAGGGACCAAAGGCAGAGAGGCAGCTCCCAAGGGGCTGAGCATCATGGCCAGTGATCTTGTGGCTACACCTGGCTCAGTGATTTTTATGAGTTCCCTAATACAAGAGAAAATTATTATAGAGATAGTAATGAGTTAGTATTATCATTCAACATAGAATTAAATGCTCTTAGAGTTTATTTACTATTTTATTTGTTCTTTTCAGTTATATATGACAGTAGAATGTATTTTGACATATTATACATACATGGAGTACAACTTCCTATTCTGTTGGTTATACATGATGTGGGATTACATTGGTTGTGTATTCATATATGAGCATAGGAAAGTAATGTCTGGGTGATTCTACTGTCTTTCCTAGTCCCATTCCCCCTCCTTCCCTTCCTTCCCATTTGTCTAATCCAAAGTGCTTCTTTTCTCCCCTAACCACCGGCATTGTGAGTTAGTATCTGCACATTAGAGAGAGAGAATTCGGCCTTTGTTTTTTGGGGATTGGCTTATTTCACTTAGCATGATAGTCTCCAGTTCCATCCATTTACCAGCAAGTGCCATAATTTCATATCTCTTTATAGCTGGAAATATTCCATTGGGTATATTTTAGAATTCATTTTTAAAATCTTTGCTTGTGGTGGTTTTTCTGGAATTCACATTTAAAGCCTGAGGTTGGGTTAAAGGTTTACATTTAACAGAATAACCCTGAAATGATAGCTTTCTATACCAAGAAACATAAACTGTAGAAAAGTTGACACCTTGAAATGCTTGCATTAAAAATTTTTAAATTGATACATTTTAAGAAATAAAACTTATACCTAATGAAGAAAATTGATGTTATTAGATATGGATATAAATTCCTAAAAAATTAGATTTGACTGTTACTTTGATGCCATCAAAATTAAAATTTATTTTCTAAAATTAAAAGAGTTAATGTCTCATATAAAAGCAGATTTCTGAAATCTGCATTCTAAGTAAGAACATGCTATAATATTAATTTTCACTTTTTTTCTTCTTAAAAACTTCCTTAAGAAACTTTGTACTCCAAATTTATCCTGACAAAAGTTAAAAAATAAAAAATAAACACCCAGAAAACCGTCTCCAAAAGTAGCCACATGAGCCTTTCATTCCACATTATTCTTGTGTAGGGAGTTTAGCGACCCTGGATCAAGCCGGCTCATAGCATTCCAGATGCTGCTGCCTTCCAACCTCAGGGCCACATTCTCATCCTGTCAATCATGGGGGCTGTCGTCGTGGAGACCAGAGCCAGGATCTTGGCAGAGGTGGTTGAAATTGACTAGGAAGAAGCATATGAGATTTTTTTTTCCTTTCTGCTCCCCCAAATGCTTGCATAAATGCTTCTTTCCAGAAAGGACTGCTCTGTTCATGACTCGGATGCTGAAATCCTGGGTTCTAAAGCTGAAAGCGGCCACCTGCATGGGAGACCCCATTGGGGACGGGAAATTGTCAACAGTTTTGATGACAACTCTATCAAAAGTGGCAGTAAGAATGCAGTATCATTTATTCTACAATAAAAGCAGATGGAGACAAAAGGAACTGATTGGCTTGTTCATTTCTGCCTTATGATTCTCAGTCTCACCAATGCTGAGCCAGGGAGCACATTTCCATAGAACATGGACTGCACTCATCTGTTGGTGCAGCCAGGAACATTTTTTGCCTAATACTTCTAATACTATTCATTGCTGAGCATTTTAGAAACTCATTGTTAACATTAAGAAACTTATTTCTCACTCCCATACATTTAGTAATATACATTTATATTATGGGCATGAGGCAGATAACTAAGAAAATAAAAATGATTAGATCGGGGAAAATGTTTAGATTTGCCCTTAAGATGCTAAATGGCTTCTTCCAACATGGGATTTCACTATTCAAATTCTGCAATTTCCCAAATAGCACATGATATAAAATTCGTTGGTTATGGCGACTGGAGGGTGTCAGCACAGGTGGAGACCCTGATCAGTCAGCGGGTTCTGGGAGAAGGACGCAGGCTGGGCCTGTGGGGACGGACCCTGAGTGGAGATGGAGGACCTGCCTTGGCCTTCCTGGGACATCCTGAGATGGACTCCACCGTAGATCTACACGCTCCTCCAGAGGGTCGGCAGGTGCCCCTAACAGGACAGCTACACAACCTTATCTTGACTTTTCATCTCATAAGATAATCATCAAGCAGAGACCAGACTCAGTCTTGGTCGAAAACACGTGTTTTTGACCAAGGAGTGGTTGAGCCCATCTCTATTTTAAAAGTGTCTCAGGGCTACCTAGAACTAGTGGTTGACTTTCTGTCCCATAAACTTTCCCAGAAAGGATACAGCTGGTGTCAGTTAAGCCATGTGGAAGGGAACAGCATTGAAGCCCCAGAAGGGACTGAATCAGAGGTGGAACCCACCAGTGCCATCAATGACAACCCATCCTGGCGTCTGCTGGGCAGCCCCATGGTGAGTAGAGCCACTGGCCATCACAGGAGTTTGGATGCCCCGGAGGTGACTGAAGCAAGCACTGAGGGAGGCAGGCGACAAGTCTGAACTGCAGCAGGTACCTGCAGGCATTCAGTGACATGACGTCCAAGCTCCACGTCACCCCAGAGACAGCACATCAGACCTTTGAACAGGTAGTGAAGGAACTCTTCCAGGATGTGGTCAACTGGGGCTGCATTGTGGCCTTTTGCTCCTTTGGAGGAACCCTGTGTGTGGAAGGCATAGACAAGGAGAAGCAGGTATTGGTGAGTCAGATCGCAAGTTGGGTGGCCACTTACCTGAATGATCACCTAGAGAACAGGATCCAGGACAGAGGCAGCTGGGA